TCCAAATTACTCCGCGGCACCAATGTAAATAACACACTAAAGCGACAATTATATACCATACAAATAAACGATCTTTTCCTAATAAACCGCAATTCTTATATTTCAAATTAAAAGTAATTTCGAAAAGTAATTAACGAAACATACGACATTTATATATATACCTATATTCCAAAAAAAAAAATCTAAGGTCAAAAATTATAAAAACAATTCTAAATTTAAAAACAAATTTAAATAAATTATCATTAAAAACGAAAATACGAATACATATAAATACTTCATAAATCCAAAGAATTTTATCTCTATATTAAATTTTACCATTTCGAATAATTCGAACACATTTCCAAATACATTTTACCTATTAATATCTAAATAAAAACAATTTATCATTTAAACCAACCATTACCCAAACCTCCCATAATTTCGTTCAAATTACACGAACCTCAACAATATTTTCATAAACATTCCCCCCGACCTATAAATAACCGAAATTTTCGTACCAATCTCCATATTATAGTCACATACATTTAATAAAACATCCCGCGAATTTAAAAATGCAATTTTCAATAAAATATAAAATATCCAAAAAACAACAATAATCAACAAAAATAACGACATGTAAAAAAACAAAGAAAATTCATAATACTACCACAAACTACGCCCTTTTAAGCTAAAATAATACTTTATATAATCAATATATATAAGTATATATTATAAACAAAAAACATAAATTATAATATATATAAACAAAAATATAAATAAAATATTTCAATATTATTCATATTTTTTATTGGCCAAAAAAACAAAAATATAATTTGAATTATTAATGCTATTTTAAATTGTTCCTAGTGATTTAGAAAGACATAACTTAATTATATATTTGTTATGACGATTTAAATCTGTATGTTTAATTTTTATGAATTATGATATATTATAATGAATTTATTTTAGCTAATAAATTAGTATTAATAAAATAGCAAAGCAACAGGACCAACCACTGCAGGCGCAGCAGGAAGCCATCGAAAGGGAACGGGGATGGGAAAGGCGGCGGCAAGCAAATTTCCACATGGATTGTTGAGCTTGGAAAAGCAACAACCATGCCAGCCACTTCCAATAGACGCAATTTCACGGAAACATGTTCTTCACATGCATGCCCAGTAGAACAGAGGAAACGCAAGAGTCTGAAATGGCAGACGGGCCATTCTCGTTCTCCCTGTTGTTCGTTCGCTGCGGTTGTTGTTCGTTGTTGCGGCCACTGTTTCTGTTGCGCCCCGTGCCATAGTCTGGAGCCGAAGGAAGACTCAGGTAGCTGAGGCTGCCTTTTGTGATTTGCATCCCATAACCATAATCGGACCTATCTAAAACAAAAGGATACCATCTGAGCAACAACCTGGTGTGAAATCTCGGAACATCCAAATACTGGTTAGTTTGGGGAGATGTGGAAGACAAAGCAAGGATCTCATGGCTCCTGATTTAGTCCACCCACTTCGTGAGGTAGTTGCTGCCCTTCAGCGCTGACGCCACCTGCGAGACTGGATCGCTGGTATGACAACCAGTCTCCATGGTGCCGACTCATCGAGCTTTCAAATATCCAACATGTCGACTCATCGTGAACATGTCGGATCTTTGCCTTTTCGGATGCCAGACTGACTCATTCCGTTTTTGGAGAACTGCTCGGACCATGAAACGCGGACCATGTTACTTTGATCGTTTCGGTGGCATCCACATTCAGAAAGTTAATGAGTAGGAGAATCATATGTCATACCTGGTCGAATCAAAGCTTAACGAGCTTAACACATCCAATTATATACATGTTACATGCCTATGAACTCATTAGGTCCCGGAATTTCCTTTCCCCAAGCACTCTCCAAGCAGCAGGCCTCTGCGCTGGTCATGGATGCATACCTGGTCAGCTTGGCATCTGGATATGGAATGTGACACGCTTCGGACTGACACGCGTTCACTAGCAAAGCTGCAAAGCTGTGAGATCAACAAAGAACGGTTCTCTCGTTGACATGCGAGGTGCACGTGAGATTTTTAGCCCGACAAGAAATGACGAGATGAAGCAGAACCATCTTGGAAGAGAGCATGCCGTGTGGGATCAGTTGTCCTTCATCTTTTCAGGATGATTGGGTCGATGGTCCCAACCACTTCTCAAGAAACCTTCAGGGCTACTTGTTCCTGCTTCTTCAGATTGTTAATTGTTGGATTCTAGCAGAAACTGATGAACAAATTGAACACCATGAAGATCCTTCAACAATTCTCTGGGTAGACTGCCATGCACCAGAGAGCATTTGGAAGCAAGATTTGATTTGAGCGTTTCTCTGTGCAAACTGCGACCAACAAAAACACAGCTCAGGTGCTTCTTGAGATCCTTGGCATTCTCCCATTCGAAGAATTTAATACCGTTCCTTGGAAGGGTGTCGGTGAAGCGTATTCTGCAGGCGTCATGTCACCATGTTCTTTTTGAAGATCAGTAGCCTTGACAACTTGATAGCGCCCAACTTTGAAGTATATACAGTAAAACCTCCCATTGGATTGTAAAACCTCTTCTGCCTGGGGTGTTGAAATTGGATCAAGAGTCTACGTTGTGTGAGTATCATATGCTGAATTTTGCTTGTTCGCTTGGCGTCCGGGTCGACCGGGCACCGGGTCGAGTGCAATTCTGGAGGGTTCGTCGAAGAACAGGGCGTGGGCAGCTGCCAAAAGTGCGGCTGGTCTCAACATCTTCAATGTCCAAAAGAAGATCGCTGCTGGTTGTGGGAGCACTTTTCCAACGTTCTTCGGGACAAAACTGATATAACTGGATGAGCATGTCGGATGCCTGGTCTCGGATGAGCTGGTGAAGTGAGGAATTGTCTACTGTGATTTGGAGTTTGTTATTTAGAAACATGTTTATTGTGGTTTGGTCCCAAACCATCGCACCAAAGTGTGGTTTCTGATGGTTTCTGAACGCTTTTGAAGACCCAAAGACTGGTCGGGAGACAAAGAACACGTCGACCCAAAGGAGGTGTGATTCATTCGACCCAAAGCAGGAACGATATGCTTCGACATACTGTTGATGGACAAAATCCTGCACCACTTTGCGCACACTTTTCTTGCTGCCCTCGTTCTCCCTCGTTAACATTGGGGCCACCACAGTGAGAAAACAAAAACAAGTTGAAGGTCCAAAATCCTGCACCACCTTGTCAGAGGGGTCACGCCAACATTGAATGAGGGGGCACGGGGGTTGCTATGCGACCCTTCCAGGGTACAGTGGTGAGGTGGTGCAGGATTTCGTCCATCAACAGTATGGGTATTGAAATACGGAGATCTCCCAGTTCGACCCCCTGGAAGAATATCTTAAAAAAACATTGGTTGGATGTCTCCCTATCAATATCCACCCCCATCTCCGAACATGGACTCCCGGCTTCGCCAAGCATCTTGTTCACCGGCTCGCGGCCAAAGTGACAGTAGGCGGCTGTGTCCTAGCCAAGGACGAGCTCTCAGCGCCCCAAAGTAACTGGGCCCTCCCTCCTCATACCAGGCTTCTCTCCTCTTTTCCCAGTCCCGGTCCCGCCGCTCCTGGTACTTCGGCTCTCTCAGTGCTAAGGACGCCGCGATGGCGCCCGGTCGACAGTCGAATTCGATCCTGAACGGTGCGGACGGATGCGCTCCGCGCTCGGCGCGACTGGGCGGACGGATGCGTGCGTACTTGTGGGAGCACTTGGGCTGTAAAGATGCAAACCACAAGCACCAAAAACATGTAAAACACAAACACATCAGACACAACAAATCCAACCAACATGGAGCCTTTGAAATATGTTATCGTCTTTGGTCAATCTACAAATGCGTCCCTCACAGATTGAATGAACACGTTCATAAATAATCTACAGTATTCCAAAATCTATCATTTCATAAAACTTGACTCTTACACCTACAACGCGCAATCTGAACAGGGAACACAGTGAACATTTTTGATAAAGGCAACCAAGCACGTGCTCCAGAGTACAGAAGAACAATACTGGCACCGGCACCCTGTGGCTGCAGGAGTTTGCTGCTTGAGTTATCTTCCATGCCATGGATCTTCAGAATGCTCGTGATGTCATCCACACTGAGGCTGCCCTTCTCACTGCCATAGGCCTCCACCTTGAAATGTGAAATCCATGCTTGCGCTGCGGACGCTGAACACATCGCCATTTCGACTGCAAATGAAAGAAACAGGTGTGCCACACTGATGCCCCAAACTTCCCGCCCGAGACGGCACGGTCAGATTCATGGTCCGCGCTTCGCATCGAGTGGCAAAAAGGGAGAGTGGCTTGGCCACACCGATGGCGTAGGAGAGTTGCCTGAAGTCGAAGCGGTATCATAAGCACCACGGCGTGGTAAGCGTAGCCGGAACTGTGGTTGAACGGTGTTGCAGGCTCATGGTGACCTCATGGTCACCCTCAACGACGTGAACCAACGCCGATGAAGGAGATCCAAACGTCCCACAACGTTCATGCGTTTGGATTGAGCCACAATTGTACCCGAGCTTACCATGGGGATTCACATCGTTTTCAGTCAGTTTTCACGCACAAGATTCAATACGCAGGACCCACTATATAGATACAGAATGATGATTGGGCTGGCTGACAGTAGGTTGCCGTTGCGAACAGCCATGCCGAGACAATGCATGTTGTCATTTGTGAGCGCGCGATAGATCACCGACAAATACATGGGATGGAACTAAATAAAGCGCCAACATGGACTGTTGGATCATTCAAACACCATTTGCGCACAAGGCCCTACAACCTAACCAGGGCTTTTCCTTGGGGATCAGTCCTTAAGGAAATTCACTCCCATAACTCAGCCACTTGAAGTGTTTATGAGTCGAACCTGAAAGCCTCAGACCGAAACGGTATGCCTTTCGGCTGCATGTGGGCCGAAACACCAGCGACTCGTTTGATCAGCCCATCGACTGGCCAAGCCGCACTAAACACCGGGCAGCCAAACCGCTGGAGACAACCGATTTGGCCTCAGCCAGGGGTTGGATGGTTTCCAAACCATGGCATCTTGACAACTTGAGTTGTGTTTTTTGCCAGAGTCATACAAGCCAAAGAAGTCCTCCACCCAACTTGAGTGGTTCTACAGTGTATCTGGTGCATTTGTGCTGTTGCTGAATCTGTTGATGACTTATATTATATACATCAAAAGGACATGCAAAACTCCAAAAGAAAGACTGTCAATAAGAATGTTTCTCCCTGCTATCCGCTTCTAACAAGTGCCCTACAAGTGGTGCGGGGCCCCTTGGAAGCACTGGTAGAGTTTCTTGCACATTCAGCCCATATGGATGAATGATGAATGTCAATTAAAACAACATAACTACAATTTTGCAGATTATACTTGTAGTAGCATGGTAATGGTATGGTCATGCATGAGACTTCACACTACCCCCCGGTGGCGACGACACGGTACCCCGCTCGACGCTCGACCATCGGTGCGAGCGCGGGGCCATCTGCCGACAAATGTAGGCCGCTGAACGGTCCACCTGCAAGACCGTGGAACGCGGCTGTCGAAAGGCTCACCGCGGTAAAAGAAGTTCGGTGGTCGGTGGCCACAATGCTGCAACCATGTCGAACGCATTCCAAGACATTTGCGAAGATTGCATAGAATATCATCGAATGAGCTTTGAATGTTGACTCAAAATGACTGAAGCGTGTTTCCGCGGCGACTACATTTCAGGCTAGTTTGGAGGGATGCATTCAAAGGTGGGGAGAATTGCTTCTATAGAGCTGCAAGATTCCTTTCGGATTGGGTCTGAGGATGGAACATATCGTATAAATTCCTTCCTGGTGGAATCACTCTACACCAGCAGGGCCCTCCGCAGGGTATATATCTTTAAAAGGCACAATGCTTGCGGGGCTCGTGGGGTCGTCAAACTCCCATTGTGGGCAACACCCTGAAGACTGTTATGCCTCTCATTCATAAAGAGTCCATCTAAGGAATCAAAGGAAAGAATTATCAAAATCAAGACATACATAAATTTCAAAAGAAACATATATATATATATAATCGCAAATATAGTCGTGTATACTATATAATATAATACTTCAGGCAATAAAACGCTGTAGGGACGGTCCAATTTTCGTGGCAGGACACCTTTCAATTATACAACTACAAGGCATCCTGGTGTGAAAAATGACCGCCCAGATGGCCCCAGGTCTCCCAGTGTAGGATTCTAAGGGTTGTAATGAGTTTGAGTTTCAAACAGCACAGCTTTTGCCTGGCAAGTGTATACAGTACATATGCATAAATTCAACACGGCTTATTGTTTCTAGCCCTCAAAGTTTGTGTTGAAGAATATATGGTTCAAACACGATCATGTCGTTCATTGTTCAAGGACTTTGCTTGAACTGGCCCATAGCTCCTTTGGAATTTGTGACTGTTGGATCGGCTGCCTTTCCAAGTGGCAAAAATTTGTTCTCCAAGCATGCTTGGAGACTCGGAGACAAACATAATTATATCTGTATAGCACATTATAGCACCACAGCGCACACACTTCAGCAACTCAAAAGTGCAACTTGCATCTCTTGCGAAGAATAACCTGTCCTTACACCATGCAGTCCTTTCATCTCCCCCGGAAAGAACCTGTTGAACGACCGCGGCCTTGGTGGGATCCTTCCCGCTGAAGGCGCCACCACCATGGGCACCCCAACCGCCATAGGTATCGATGATAATCCTCAGGCGTTGTCCCATCTGCGCCGACAAGCGGCGGCCGTCAGGCGTCGTCCAATCGTTTTGACGGTCTTTCTGGAAGCCCGTTTCACCTCATGTCGCACTTGAGGTTGGTGTGACAAGGAAGAAAGAACAAAAGAATGGGGCATCCAAAACCACGAACAGTGGAAACATTTTATAGATGGTTGTAAACGTGCTTTCATCTTTGAGGGTCTGGGTCTTGTGGTAGATGTGTTGGGTGCAATTTGGATACAGTCCGGACACATGTGAGGGTCCTTACCCCTGCCATCCTCATCCAAGGTGCTTTCGGCCTGTGAGGCCAGCATCACCCTGTGGGCCTCCGATGATGAACTTCCCAGAAGGGTTGATGTGCAAATGCCTGGGCATCTGAACAAACCAAACATAGTGCAAAAACTGCCAAAATGATTGTACTCGGAAAAAACACACACTCTGCCATTCCCTTTTTCGTTCACAACTGAATCGCTTTGAACAAGGGGAAAAACGAAGGATCGAATCATAATCGCTCTACTCTACATTGACACCGAAATCTTCAGTATCTTTCTGGATCCTAATCCATTGGCTGTCCATCCCCCGAGCGGAACCCTCCGGCCACAGGGTCCAAAACCCGACTCCGAGGAACGTATGAGCTCCGTAGAGGGTCAATGCCTAGGGCGCTCGACGAGAACAATCCGACGGCGACCGACGGCAGGGTCACGGGCGCTGTCGACAGAAACGCGAGGTCGATTGGTGCAGCGCCAAGTGGACCAAGGTGCAGGTTTGCCATTCTTGAGCTTGATCTCCTGCCAACGGAAACAACAAGGTAGTGGTCCAAGGTGCAATCCGACATGGCAATGCATGGGGATGCGGACTTTCAGTCCTATCCATGAACATCAACTCGTCATTTTGGGGCCAACTTGATTGAGCCCAAATATGGTTAAGCCCACTGAAACCATGTCCTCAGGCAGCATTATTGAGCAGTTTTCAGTATAGTTTACCTATGGCCATTGCAAACCAGCTATCCTTGAAAAAGTTGACATCTTCCAGGGTTCGAATTTCAACCGTCCACTGGATGCGTGTTTGCTTCTTGGCTTCGTGGCCATGCTTGCTTCTTTGTCAGGCCATAGATTACTCGTCCTGCTGTCCTGCTGTGCCACAAAATGGCTTAAACTGCTTCGTCGTCATCAAGCAGCTCGGTGACTCTGCTGCACACCAAACAGGTGGAAGAACTCTGGTCGCACTCTGTTCAGCAACTTCACCACGGTTTCCCTTCAGTCCGTCTTGATGGAGCACTCTGCTTCAGCAGCTCGAAAAATGAACATGCAGTTCTTCCGAGTGGAGGAAAGCAAGACAAGTAAGCACACAAAAATAGCACTAACAAATTTGGGCATGTGAATTCCAAAGACCCATCCACCAAAAAATGAAAAATACTGAATCTCCTGCGCTTCCCACCTGTCAGGTGAGGGTTGTTTGATTTTACGTCAGCCCCATCTCCTCCGCCTCCTCCGCCTCGTCCTCCTCCGCCGGACCTCAACTGCGACCATCCACGCCCAGTGTTCCCTGCCGGACCTCAACCGCGAGCTCCAG